CTACCAAATCATCAACAACCATCGTCCTTCTTACGCCTACAACCTTCTCCAGTTCAAATCCCCAGTCCATTCCCTGTCCACAAGATCTCGACCTTCTGACCTTTACATGCCTTCTCACAGATCTGCCTCATTCCAAAATTCCTTTATTGTTTGCTCTGTCAATTTCTGGAATTCCCTCCCTATCAAAATTCGACATTCCCCCTCCATATCCACATTCAAATCCCTCCTATTCCAATTCCTATCACAAAAACAGTCAGATACTTGCTAACCATTCGAGCGGATTTTAATAGAGAATTTGATATATTTTTATATTTAATTCTTTATTTTTTTCGGAAAAGTGTATACTGGTCTATAAGAGCAAATAGCTTTAAGTTTCTTGTCATAGTATTAATGGTTTTGTATATAGTTTAGTTTGTTTTGTATATAGACTTTTTACCTTATATTTTTTTTACATTATTTCTTTTTTTCGATTTATTTTATTTTGGCCAGATGTAATATTTTAATTTTGTTCCATTTTGTTATTCTCAAGGGACTGTGTCCCAGAATAAAGTTATTTTTTTCTATCTTCTATCTTCTTCTATCTTCTATAATATTATATTGTGAATATAATATTGTATTAATATATATCAAGTTCAATTTGTTTACTAATAGCTATTTATGGATATTTGAGGAAAGTAAGGCTTTGTTTTTTAAATATTCCAATAATATCCTATACTAGTTATTATATTTTACTAAATAATCAAAGATTTTGACTTGATAGAAGCCACATATCTCAGAGAGTTGTCAGTTTTTCTTTACATTCTCTGAAAATAAGCTTGCATTGACAAGCGAATGAAAAGTAAATATTATTTTTCTATAACTTAATATTTTAGCACATTTTTTCTTACGTGTGCTGTTTGGAGTAATCATTGCCTTTTAAACCAACGCAACTGATTTCTCTCTCCCTCCCTTTTTCTGTTAAAGGATACATTTGAATTCTATGATGACATCCTCAAATAACTAAGGCTATCTTTACTTATAAATGCGATCCACACTTATCAACATATTTCACAACAAAAATGATTAAAATAATATAAAATGTTGAAAATGCAATAACAAATTTGTTCAAAAAACCCTTTTCTAATTATTATTATAGATTAAATTTCTTTATTGTTATATATAAGATATTTAATGTATTGTAAAAAAAACTCTGGTCCGAGGTTTTGGGACTTTAATTGCTAGTTCATCAGCAATTTCATTAATTTTGACCTTAATATCAATTAAATAATTTCTAAGTTCTAAATTCTTTCTAAATATAGAAATAAGATTGTATAAAAAAAATGTCTATTTCCGCAGAAAACTCAGATTCGAAAAATTTTCATGATCGCAATACTTTTCCTTACTATATATTACATATATAGATAAGTAAAAATAATCACGATTTAAATTAAAATTGAATATTGAATATCATCCTTGCCATAAAGTTATCCCTAGTGCTACTATAAAAGGTGCACTTCAAATAACTGGTCATATTGACATTTGACAATCTTGCCTAAAAAGCTATCTAAAGATTATCTTTTGTTGTTAATAATGGCAAGGAAATTTTAAAAAAAATTGAAGTACTACAAATTCTGAAGAATATTATTAAACTAAAAAAGGGTACTCCAGAATCACCATATCCATGTAACATATCAATAATCAGATAGCATAGTAAATAAAACAGGAAATTGTTAAAGTAAAAATGCTAGAAATGACATTCTAAAATAATTTAATTCTTTAATTTTACCATTTCCATGAAAAAAAAAGCTAATAAAATTATGAGGAATGATAAAATTGCCACATGAATAATATCTCCTCATAATTTTAGATATATAAAGTTTATGTATAGGCCCTTTTTGTGAAATAGAAAAACAGGGCTCCTAGAAAATAAATTTCAAGTGAAAACTTGTTTTTCTTGAGTGTTGATGCACTTATGTTATTTTTTTAAAAAGATATAACTATGCACAACAAATATTATTTTTTACAGCATCCATCTGATTTATTAAATTTTCTCATTTTTCTGTGTAATGACTTGTCTACGAATTCATGAATATACCCAAGTTTAGGGAGATGATAAAATACAAATAACTTTTCCTTTTTTTTTTTTTTTTTTTTGTAATCAGCTAGTTTCTAATTATAGAAGACTTTGTAGTACAAATAACCAAAAAGACAATGGAAAAACCTATTTTTTTTATAAATTAACTGTTAAACATAATTAAGTTTCATAGAAAGAGGAGAAATCATCCATATAAAATACAAGAGAGTTAATCAGCAACATAACATTCTTACCAATGAATTGTAAAATGTGCATACACTCAGAAGGATCATTAGATTGTAACTAACTATAAATAGGCATACATATTTCTAATCTATAAGCAATGATATTTAAAAAATAGAATTTAAGCAGACATTTTTTTTAAATAAATGGATTCCCTTGTATTGCAAGATATGTATATACATTAGGCACATAGGTGTAAACATATTTTTAAGTATTAGCAATGCACTCCTGTTCAATGTATGTATTAACTGTTAAATTTCTAAAATTTACAATGTTATACAATCTCTGTAAGTTGAAAAAATCCTGTTAGTATATACATTCATGCAATAAAATTATATAAAGAAAATTTGTTTCACACAATACTGAACATGGAAATCATATTGGAATGGCAGTTACCTCAAAATATCATTTAGTTTATTTTAAATTATAACATAGGAGTTACTACCAATTTCTTAACAAGGTAGGGTCATGAGAAATTAATCAGAGAGAACATTTTCTTCTTACATTCATAAAAAAAATTAAATCTCAGTAAAATAAATTAAAAACCTTATTAAAGCTGTGTGAATTCAAATTTTGATGTGATGGTGCCATTCCATTTAGTATCATGTTGTGATTTCACCAAAAATAAGTAGAAAGCAATGTGCGTTTGTAATTTTCTTACATTATCAAACTACATCACACTATACCTAATTGAACCCCGTCTCAAAGTACTGTAACACCATTGTAAATAACAAGATGTATTCTAGATAAGTGTATAGCGACAGCTAGGATAAGTTTTATTATTTATTTATTTTTTTTTTTTTAGCTTTAAAATGTTAATTTATTAGTAAGAGTTAATTCTAAGTGTAAATCAGTCAACATATTAATTAATACTATTCTATAACAGAATATTTTTTTAAAATATCACTAGTGGATAGAAATTACATGAGATTGTAGTTCATATTTCTATTAAATAAATATGTGTTGTGACAAGTAGACTTATTATTTTTCCACTCATAATCTATATTAAAAACTTTTTTATGACTATTTTGGCTACTTTAAGTGAATACTCTTACATACAAAAAATACCAATTACTCTTAGAACTTTGTATATTGCTACACCTTTCCCCATCTGAGTTTTTTTTTTTTTATTTATTCATTATTAACCACCTTGCCTATTGGGTATGATGTTCCCTGAAGGGAAGAGCAAAAATTCAAACTAAGTTACAATTATCAGGCAGAAGAAGCAGCAACAAAATATTTTATATTTAATAATAACTAATTATATCTTAACCGTGATTGTTGGCTATGGGTCAGTTGAAAACAATCTACAAGTAAATAAAACAATATATTTAAATTTAAAGACAATTAGTTTTTAATTGCGTTTGAAAATATAACAACTTTGAGCTATGCAGATTCAGAATCTCTTATCAAATGAAAAGAATGTGGATATTTTAATAATGTAAATACTCTTTTTTTTTTTATATCAAAAGAAAAAAATTTAAATATACACCTGTCACTTACATTGCAAATATGTAAATGAATATACATAACATTCCTCAAGGATAAGAGAGGACAACACCTATTCCCAACTAATTTTCACTGATGTGAATGTGAATAACAATTAGTATTTTATTTTTAAGTCTGTACTTATGTATGTGCTGTTAAGAAATTTTTTTACACATCAATGTTTCAATAATTACATGAAAGTATCCAGTTTTGTCTAATTTTCAATGTTGATTGTTAATGATATATATTATATAGCAACCTTTTTATAAAAAAAAAAAAATCATAAGATATGCTAATCATGATGCGAAAACCTTGGAAGCTATACATATTTTCCATCTTTTTGAAGATATCCATACTGGTAGCATTCTAGCAATGCAGTTCTCTGAGAAAAAATGTTTCTTACATAATGGTTAATATTTTCAATAATAATTATCCCAGTATATTATATTATTTACATAATTATCAACTTGCCAAATACACACTAATGACTGCCTCTGTGTTATTCTTAAATCATTAAACAGCCTACTTCGGCAGGAACCTGTAGTCAAATTAACTCAAATAATATATGCATCAGAATTAGTGTTTGTTTCAGCATTTTTCCTATCTGTTCACTTTCTAGGCAATACTTTAATGATAATTAAAAACCTTTTAAGACAAAATATTTATAAGACCTTTATGTGTGTGAGTGAGTTTGGTTTAGTATGGCTATATAAACATAGGTTTTATAAATAACAACGAAACTTGGTTAATTAGCAAACATGAAATTAAGTATTTAACATAATATTAATTTACAAATTTCACACCTGGTTAACACATGGGTCAAGATCACATCAATCTCATTGTAGATGAAATTCCAAAAGTATGCTTGCTTAAGAGATAAATGAGCAGTAACATGCCCTTTTCATATGAAGCCTCAATGATAAGGAATCCTGGTTGCTCCAAATAAATCCTTTTCGATTCATCATGAAATACCATCTATGATTTATTTTTAAGAAAGGAATGGAGATCAATCTCCTCCATTCAATTTCAGAGCAACTGTTGAGTTTTATGTACAGTTTGATCAATGTGGTCTTTACCCACCAGCCAATCATACAATTTTTGTGAACTAGTACCAATAACATTATATGTTTTAGAGGAATAAAGATGCATGATTAAAACTAATAAAATTATATTTTATTTTAAGAATACAAAAACAACAAATAATAAATAAATATAACAGGCATATTTAACATTAAATTAATAAATATTATTATTTTCTATGAACAAACTTATTTACAAATCACTATTCATCTCATAATGAAAAATCATTAGCCAAAAGTGCAAGGTTTATCAATTTGATTTTCAACAATAATATTATCAGTCTTATATAGTGTCGAGACCAAGACCTGAAAAAAGAAAAATGTAATAATATAATGAAATTATAGTCAATAAAAATAACACCAAACATGGGAAATTTAACTCTAATCGACAAACAATAATGTCAGTTAATTAATCATCATTTTGAAAATTAATTATGTTTACTTTTTTAATATAGTTAGTTTAATAAAGTTGTCATGGCATTAAACAATTATTGATAAATTAAAAAAATGTTATACATACTAAAAAATGATAAACACTTCAGTTTTTTACTGGTACTGCTCTGGTAAAATAAATTGTTTCAGTATACAGTATCAACAAATTAAGCCAACCTCACTAATAAGTACTTATATATTATTCAAATTATTATATCTCTAGTCTTCCTCTCTTGCTTGCCAAGAGATTGCAGCAGTGCCATTTGGCTTTTCTTCATTTATTCAAAGAAAATTGGAAGTTGTTCCCTAAACATTTCTTTTGTTTATAAAAAAATCCTAAATATAATTAGTAAATAAAATATATAAAAACAAAATCAATAAAAAAAGATGTGTCTCCTCCAATGCCTCCTAAATTTTTGTTCTTCCATCAACTATAGTTAAGTCGTTTACGTCCTAAAACCACCCAAACGATAAAATTTATTTTCTCAGGAAATAAAAATCCATTCCTAATGAAATAGCAATGCATTAAACTGGTCTTTTTTTTATGCAAATAAATCAACATTTTTTTCAATAATGCATTGATTGATGTGATGATTGTTTTTTTTTAAACAAAAGAAACAATGGCCATTTATATATTTTGTTTAGAAAATCTCTGAGCAATAATTTTAAAGTTATTTCATTATAAAAAGTTCTTGACTTTAGACCAGAAAATACCATCCTGAAGGTCTTTGAAAAAAAATTCATGTAATGGAGAAATATCAAAACGAAATAGGGATATTTAAAAAATGACAATTTCACTTTTTAATTTTAATTTTAATTGTGCCAAAAGTGTAACAAAAAACCAAAATCAGCGCAACACATATTAGTAGAGTGCCATGAATTAAAAAATCAAACAGAAACTAAAATTACCAGTGGCAATTATAAAATACTTTGGATTACTATACTTCTGGACTTCACTGAATAATTTCAAGCCAAACATTGTAGCCTTAGCAAAGCAAGGAATATCATCCTAAAAGATCACAACATAAATAAGATGTTGACGACAATGCAGGAGAAACTCGTGTTGCCAAAAGCACAAGGCAAGAGAGGAGAAAACATGTTCCCTATGTTCAGAGAAACGGCCCTACTTCTTACTAGCTGGTACCTATAAGACAAGAATAGGGAATAACAATTTAAAGCTTAATTCAAATCAAGTATAACAGAATTTCTTGCTTCTGACAAGATGTTTCATTCCAATATCTCAATAAAATAGTGAACAATGAGACCTGTAACCTACAAGTAACTTTCGAAGATTATTTTTATTAACAATTTTCTGAAAACATTTGTCGTTTATAATTTTTTCTATCTTTCTGCTCATTCTTCTTCTCAAATTCCTACTCACCATACTCACCACTACATCCTGCAACCTTCTCTTCTTGGGTAGTTATTTATTTTATTTTTTGTCTCTCTATTGGGTGATAGTCAAAGTTCGCTTTTGGCCACTGCTCCTCTGATATTCTTTGTAGATGGTCATACCATGTCAGCCTTCTTGTTTCAATATTATCGAGGATCATTTTTTCCTGCTGAATAAACTGCTTCTTGGTAATATTTGGAGTATGCTGAAGTTTGGAAATAGCATATTTCCACATGTTAGTCTATTTCCAATACTAATAACTTTTTTTCTCCTTTTTTACTATAACCCTCGTTTCTTATCCATATAAGCACAGCCTTTCCGCAAAACAGTTGAAAAGTCTTTTTTATTTGCTTTTACGTTTACCGGTTTACTCCGTAATGCCAAATTCAGGCTTCCAATTATTTTTACCTTTCAAAGATACCTAAAATATTGTTTATAGACAGAGACTGGGTATATTGGAAATTTGCTAAGCACTACAATACAAACCATATTAGGTCAATTTCATATTTTCATAATTAGCTGTCTCATTACATACTATCCTACTGTTAAAAGAACAGAATGATATACAAGAGGAAAAAATAAATGAAAGATACTTACTTGTCTTTTCAAACAGTCATAAGCCAGCCGACCATCATTAAATTTTTGTGTAATACCTTCTAATTTAAGATTTCTATTTTCATTAAAACCATGCTTAATTCTTCTCAGTGCATAATTTCTGAAACATATATTTTGGAACTGAATTCAGTAATCATTATTTCTTTTAACTTTGCTTTGCATAAAAAAAAAAAAAAAAATGCATAAATAATTTAAATTATATAATAAGCACAATTTCCATAATTTGTAGTCATTAGGTGTTTATTTGTATTCAATAAATATAAATGTTTATAAGTTGTATTCAATTAATATAAATATTATCCACACTATTGAATGTAATAAATATTATAGTTAATTTACAATTATTAAATAATTTGTATAAAATAGAATCTAAGATGTACTTCACCCTCAAATTTAACACATTCACATTAAATTTGTGTAAGCTGGGTGAGTGACATTTGAGTGAATCCAGAGCATTTTTACTTATATCAAATTTCATAAAAGACAAAGGGGTGTTACTCTTTTCGTTTTTATAATAAGCGATATACATCAATTTGTGCACTCTTTAGCTAATGCGTCAGCTATCTAGTTTTCCTTAATGCCTGAGTGACCTTTGGCCCATTATATTTTTATAGCAAAATTGAGAATCTAATTCTCTATAAAAGTTCATTCTAATCGTTTCAATGAGTTAGCCATGTATTTCTGAATTGAAAACTGATGGTATTAAGATTAAGTAGCTGATACGTTTTTTTTTTTTCTTTTGTATTAAGATTAAGTTGTCTGTTTGTAAAAGAATGTCTTGGAATATAATAAATGTATGTCAGATACATGTATACAAATAATACTGTATATCAGTATGAAGGACATAAAAGTAATCTGTGACTTTTTACGATTGCATACTTTTCACCCCGGCTGAACCTGACACTACTTTTCAATTGCCTACTGGTTCTTTTCAGTAAATATTAGAGAATGATCAGTTAATTACATTGCTGCTTTCGAATTCCTGCACTCTCTCAAAAGGGATAAACAAACCTCCAACAGTTTCTTTTCAACTGATATCGAGCTTTAACAGGTGGATCCAGATACTTTCAGACACATATAGCCAAGATACCATTTAAAATGAGATCTTGTGTCACCCATGAAAGTGAAGGGACATTAGAACAATAATAATTACTGTTAACTAGGAAAATCAAACTGACAACTGACTAATAATTAAACAAAGGATTTGTTAAATCATTGGATAATTATTCTTTATTACATACAAATACTCACCTAAAATTGTATGCAGGTATTTTTTTCGCTTCTCTCATCATATCACGGTATAATTTCAAGATCTGCCATTTAGAAACAGACATTATAAATAAAAATGAAACAAACTTATTTTTACTAGTTTTCGAGGTTACCTTCAGCACTATCACTTATCATTCAAATTTGTTGACAAATGAAACCTTCCTTCAAAATCTTCAAACTATCGTTAGCATCAGTGTTGCCGTAACAAAATTTTGATAACATAAAAACATTTTATTATTTACTAATTTAAAATTTTCCATCAATTTTTTTTATTTTAATCTGTCATATTTCATAATTAGCATCAATATATAGGTGTTTTAATTGATACAATACGATTTTTTCGATAGGAGGTGAAAGGAAAAGTATATTTTTTTTGCAAGACAATGGCCCCGATCAGACGGCTTGAAAAAGTGTAGCCGGTTTAAGACATTAAAATAAAACAGGAAATAAAACATAAAAGAATAAGAAATAGTCGACATTTCAGTATTTCAATCACGGTGGACACATGATATCGCATTTACCCTAATATATTATAAATTTATAAAGAAAGGAATAAAATAAAGAAGAAGTGAAATGCGTTAAAGAAGGTGATGGATGAATATAATTCATTTAATAGGAACCATTAAATTCAACATTTCTCAAACAGCTGAAATAGTTAACTAATATCCAAAAGCGCTTATCCAAACTATCTTTAATATCTCTTGAAAAACCAACATCAGATGGAGCGGGCACAAACAATAAACAAAAACACTAGCTTAAGTGCGTTTGAACATTTCACAAACTCCGAGCCAAACAAATATATAAATGGTTATTTCACAATGCATATAATTTTCTTTCTCGTTGTTGATATTTTCCATCTTCTGTCAATCAATATTAATCAATCAAAATATCAAATATCAATCATCTATTAGAATCATCAAATCTATCAGAATATTAAACATCAGAATCAAAATTAATACTTTGATTTAGTAATAATGTTGCTGTTTCTTCTTTCTTCTGTCAAGTTAGATAATTGTGTTACCCATAGTTTGTGAAATGTCTAAACACGCAACTTTAAAGAAACAACCCAATTAGGCATATGAATTTTCCACACTTGGTGAAATGATTAAACATATTCTTAAGATGTGGATCTTCTACAAACAAAAATTTACCGAAATCGACAGTAACTCCGTCCAGTCACCATCGGAAGAATCAAGTTAGAAAATACAATGTTTCTAATTTCCATAATTTTAAGAGTGTGATTAATCAGTAGTGGAACAAAATTCAAGCTTATTCAGCCCACATAGGTTTTGTTATATAAATCTATCATAAACATAGTAAAAAAATAAATCTGAGATTTTACAATGATGTTGAATTTATCGTAGATTCCCTCCGACATCAAATAAATAAGATAACATCAACATTTTTTGTTTGTTTTTATGATTAATATTTCCTTCAAGGATTTTTGGTCTACAAGTTGAACAATCTTCGCTTCATTCAAAATTTGATAACTGCAATGTACCTACATGAAGAGCCAGTTTAATATTTCCTTCTAAATGAAGGAGAGGAGGTGACATTGTTATAAATTGGTTTTAAAATGGCAATTAAAGTATTGATATGAAATATGTTGGCTGTAGAAAAATTGAAAACATTCTATTTCTCAATACGTTTGAATTCGTTAACTGCTTTAATCGAGTTGAAGAAATTACGAGATCTCTGTATTCGTCAGTTAAAACCGCAATGCTTCGCATAGATGCATATGTACTTCGTGAACATCATTAATAGGATAACAGAATATATCATTAATAGATAATAGAATTTTATAGCTCGTAATGAAGGTGGGAACAGTCATTAATAATTATATTAAAGAGCAAGAAAAGAGTAAGAATCCTAGTTGATAAATGCTGAGTGAAGCAAAAAACTGTTTATAAGAATAGTCCTAAATTGAATTTTTTTTAAGCTGTTAAGTAATATTGAAATTTAACTGTTGTTGGATCACAATATACTTGTACTGGTACTGGTGGGGTCTTTGTGATCCTTTTTTGCCAACCGCTAACAGGTACCTTGATGTTGTATCAAACTTACCTGAGTGAGAATCGAACCCACAATGTTCAGAACCGGACACTCTGGAACCCACGCCCAAACGTGCTCAGATAACACTTTCTCTGGTTTACAATATAAATTTATGATGAAAATTCCAGAAACTTTCAAACACTTTGATAGCTGAAATATAACTTCGGCTTCATTGCACAAGGTTGGATCAGAACCGGTGCTGATTAAATGAAGTTCTTAAATGATATCTTCCGATTGAAATTATTAATTGATAACTGCACAGGAAGGACAGAAATCTGAATACTGGAGGCTGTACAGACTCTGACATGAAGAAATTAATAAAGTAAGTGATTATATATACCAAAACTAATCTGGGATATTGTTAAGAGTGAAAAGTGGTACCTTCCTTCTACCTTTATCTCAAAAATTCGACTACTCAAAAAAAAGTTAAGATTTGTTATCTACCTAAAATTTAATAAAAATATAAGTTGACAGGCACAAATAAATTTGTTATAGCCAAAAAAATCAAAACTGTGAAAATTATGGTTAAAAATGTATGCAAAAAGTTACTAGAACTTAAAAAAAAAAAAAAAAATATATATATATATATATATATATATATATATATATATATATATATATATATATATATATATATATATATATATATATATATAATATATATATATATATATATATATATATATATATATATGTATACTCGTACTACATAGCTTAGCGACTACTTGTAAATATCTCTCTATTATATTACAAAGTTTTTATTGACCGCGTAATATTTTATTTTATATATAAAAATCTGTAGGGAAAGTAAAAAAGACACCACACTTCTTATTCCTAGAATTAGTTTTCTCTTATCTTGGATATAAATTAGCAATAAGAATAATTATATAAAGATATAAATTGGCAATAAGCCACGAGGTATAATATAGATTTATTATTATTATTATTATTATTTATTAAGTTTACAATTGTACCTTTAATATACATTCAGCAAGTGTGATGCAGATAAATACATGACGTGATAAGGCTTGTATAGAATCTGCCCATTGGTAGCACTCTAATAAAGTTTCTAAATTAGGAGATCACGAGGCCATCTTCTTTTCAGACGCCTAGGAGGGTTATCAGGAATTGAGGAGGAAGCAAGGTTAGAAACGAGAGAATTAGGATAGTTCTGAAGTTTACTATAAAAGAATAGGTATCTGGATTGGGCCAAATCTGATACATGTGTAACATTCAGTTCATTATGGATTATTTTATTTGTTACAAAGTAAGCATTAAGGATTTTGGATTGTAAAGATTGGATACGAGAGGAATTCGATGGTTTAGTGGAGCCTCAAAGTTCAACTCCGTAAGTCCAAACAGGTCTTAGTATGATCATGTATATGAGTCCTTTGTAATTAGTTGAACGGTTAGAGCGTTTGTATAGTGGGCGGGGTGGCCGAATGGGCTTAAGCTTGTGCACTGCACTGCCTTTGCCCGGCAACCTAACATATGAATCAAAGATAAAAATAGTCACGAGTTCGCATCCCGGTGCTGGGGGAGTCTTTTACACCCCCTGGCCCGGGAAAATCCCGTATAGCCTTAACGGCGAGGAAAGGAAGGACCCAAAAAAATAAATAAAAAAATAAAATAAAAAAAAGAGCGTTTGTCTAGTAAGAGCTGAAGTAGTCGAAAACGTAGAGCGGTTTTTTATCGTTTCAGTCTGCTATGAGGATTCCAAGCTAGACGTTTGTCCAGGTGGAGTCCTAGGTAATATATATTTAAAATTTGTCCAAACTGTGGTTTCTTTCCGTTTATTTTAAGTTGATAATAAATCTGAACTACAGAATACTTGTATATCAGTACATGTATAACAGTATGTAATTATAAGTACAATAAATTATAATTTGAGCAACGAGTAGTATTATTAAATGAATAGTACGCGTAGTACTACTGAAAACTCAACTGAGTAGTAACTACTCAACAACTCAAATACCCATCAAGTAGTACTATTAAGTGAAAATATGATTTGTAAAATGGGGATTGGTCCTCCATTAAGTGAACAAGGAGACACCCGTAGCCCTCCTAGTAATATAGAAATAAGCTAATCTAATTTTTATTTTCATCCCTACCTAAGCACGTAAACTAAGTTGTTTTCTTTATGAATATTGGATAGGTAAAACAATTCTTAATTTATTGTAGCCGGTTTTGTCTATTCAACACAGATAATAGGATAATTATATCCACTTATTTTAATTTTCAGTAACCTATTAATGTGTTGTTTTTTTTTAATACATATATTTTCTTCTTTTAATTTATTAATAACCATACTAATTGTATTCGAGAGGTACCTACCAAATTAATTACATAGTTGTTAATTAGTCCATATCGTTGAAAAGAAAACAATGAAAAAGATGCAGCAACCATTTGTTGAATCTGAAGGTGTTAAAATCCATAGCAAAAAGTCTTATCAAACTGACTAGATTCGTCGGAGTTGGCAATATTTGCCTTTCAGTCTGGTGTTGAAGATAATATTAAAATATTTGAATTCTCCTTGAAAAAATATCTTTGCATTGTCATTATTTACATAATAATTTTATTGTTACCTGTGATATTGTTAATCCTGTTGACATTTTTGCTATTTTATTTTCTCTAGACTTTGAGGCCGTGGCAAGTAAATAAATTTGAAGATACCATGTTTTTAAGTAAAACAGAATTAACTCAATTTCTGAGGTAATATATTTTCGAACATTATTAAACATTTTTATTTGTTTATTTTTAGTGATGCTTTTAATTATTTTTATTTGTTAGTAATTTTTTTTATCTAATTTAACTCTTTTGTGCACCAACATAAAGTCTATCTAATTAGGCCGATATTTTTTTATTATTTATTTTTAAATTTTTATTGTTGTTCAAACCAAAGCAAACCTAAAAATCTGATGCGCGCAACACACAACTTTCACTTACCGCTCTACTTTGAATAGAAATTATTTTCTGGCAATGCTGGGCTATTATAAAATCTTTTAAAGTGCATTTTAAACGGAGCTAAAGCTTAAAGCTTACAGATAACAAGCCATTAAGACCATTATAATTACAAAATGTCTATCTAATATATCGACGA